GGTAGCAAAATGTAGCCCTCATCTCGATTGGTGTAAATGGGGGCTATGTCAGGCTATAGGGGGAATGCCACATATTTATGCAAAGTGTGTAACATCCGGCATTCAGCCAGCACGGAACATGGACAATGAATTGACTCAATCATCGATGTTATCTCATGTGATCATACTATACATGTTTCGTTCATATACTATCAAGGGAAGGGATACTTTCATTATAAAAATTGAGTGAGGCCGCAGCCGTCGATTACTATGAGAACATTGGTGTATCATATCCCACTCCCAACTCCACATCAACAAAGAGGTTTTTATAATGAAGAGAACTACTTCAATCAATAAGCATCACCAACTATCGAATTAGTCTTTTTCTGTACAACATATTCCCATTGGTTAACGGGGCGACTTAATGCATCAGCATCGAAGTCATGTGGGTCAGCCATTGAGTCGGCGTTGAAGGAATGAAAGTAGGCGAAACTATAACGTGGCTCTACAAGGGGACCTTCTGGCTGGATGACACGATGCTTGATGGCTCTCCACCTAGTAGACATACAACATTAATACTCCGCAAGGCGGCTCACCTATGATTGGTCCAATAATCCATCATATCACCGGTATTCACTAGTATTTCATCACCACTAGTCTTCACATCTATCCAGTCATTCGATGGTCCAACTATCTGTAGATACCTGCAGTACACTCATCATACATCGATGTATCTGCTAGAGCCCTACATCCCACAAGCATCGCTATTAGCTTGACGAAGGAGGGTTAACGGACCCCAATCACTATGGACCGAGCATCGCACACCTCCTTGGGGTACAGTCGGCTCCTGACAACGCCGCTCGAATGATAGACTACCGCTAAAGGGACAATGACGAGCTCACCTCCTTGTAGCATAGCAGGCGTAGGACTGCCAAATGGTTATGATTCATATCGTTGAAGAAACAAGGGTCCTTCCCGAGTGCTATGGCGAGGACTTTATAAATAAGACTCGTTACTGAGGATAGCAAGGGATGATTGCTACTCTCGTCGAAGCCTACATCGCTCCATCTCCCTGTAGTAGGCCATATATTTATCACGAAATCCAGGTGGCAGTCTCGGCCATTTGCTTGGACCTCAAAAACAATATAGCATACGGATTACGATGTAGCTCCCATACCTGATCGAGTGGACCCTGGGTAACTGGAGGTGGATGGCCATATCTGGTAGGATTCCTTGGCGTCGGCCTGCCCTCTAGTCTGCTGTAAATACTCATCCGTCTCCTCGCTCCTATAGAGTAGTTCTCCACCAGCATCATAACCTTCAAAGTCTTCTGCGGTAGCCAATACTTCCCTCTTCACTGTACTAGGGAGATTGAAAAACCTGAACACAGAAACATACTCGTTGGTCTTAATGCTCCTGTCTTACTCTCTCGAGGTCTGCTCGACTCCCTCACAGACCTCACGAGGTACCCCATGGTTGACTATAACAAAACATCCATATCTGAGGTAAGGATTCAGCATTAACCGACGAGTGACACTCCTGCTCACAGTTCCATGGCAGAAGACACCTCTGTT